TGAACTGAACTGAACTGAACTGAACTGAACTGAACTGAACCTTGAAACCTTTTCAAAGTCAAGGTCACACTCTTTCTTGTTTGTTGTTTTGCTGTCTTGGTGGCTCCTAGTGTTCATGTAGGTTTCTTTCAGACCATAAGGGTTAGCAAAAAACTCATTTTGAGTTGAAAATTCTACTGTTAAGATAATATTTCATTGCTGTGCTAGCTGTTCTTTTTCGCGTGGTGCATTTGTAGCGTTGAGATCCGTATACGGATTTGAACGTGAGGTAGTTGCCTCATTCGGAATCGTAGAAGGTACTGCTGTCTGCGAGCTCGACTCTGAGGTAGGTGCCTCAATCATCGGCCGTGCAGGAATAACATCGAGTCTCGAACTGGCGTGCAGAATTCCATCGTCGACGTATTCTGCCTTGAGGCGTTTGATGTTAATCGTATAGAAGCGACTNATTTGTAGCGTTGAGATCCGTATACGGATTTGAACGTGAGGTAGTTGCCTCATTCGGAATCGTAGAAGGTACTGCTGTCTACGGGCTCGACTCTGAGGTAGGTTCCTCAATCATCGGCCGTGCAGGAATAACATCGAGTCCCGAACTGGCGTGCAGAATTCCATCATCGACGTATTCTGCCTTGAGGCGTTTGATGTTAATCGTATAGAAGCGACTGTGTCGATCAACCTTTAAGAACTTTTCGTAACTCGAAATAACTCGAAAAGCTTTTTTGTAAGGCTGTTGTAACGGTTTACGTGCCGCATCAATTCGAATGAATACGTGCGAACAGGTTAGTGGTAGGCAGCTTTTCTGTAGTCCGGTTCGATACCACGCCTAACCTAGTGGGGCCTTATGTGGTTCATCACTCCAAGTCCTGGGGCTTAGGTTACCGGTTTCTATCACTGAACAGCAGGTCATCCTGACTATGGGGTTCACCCTGTTCATCACATAAATGTGTGTAATAAAAAAGGAGTTGTATTGGAACTTCTGCCGGCGACAATAATTGCATAAACGTAGACAAACGTTGCACGTAGTTCTGTATTCCAATGGAGTCCATGTTCCGTGGCGTGAAAAATTCCCCAGGCAGTCGTAATGTAGTACCGACAACGAGCTCAGAAGCTGTACATTGGATATCTGTCTTGACGTATTTTCTGATACCTAACAGAACAAGGGGTAACGTTTCGTACCAATTAAGGTTCTTTTGTGCCCGAAGAGCACCCTTCAGTTGACGGTGAAAACGTTCGACTATACTGTTAGATGCTGGATGCTAAGCAGTTGTGTGAATGCGTTCCGTACCCAGCAGTCGTGTTAACAAAGAGAATAATTGTGGTTCGAATTGTGCTCCTCTGTCAGTCGTGACAGTAGAGACACAGTCGTAGAGTGCTATCCATCTTTCTACGAAATGTCGAGCCAGTGCTTTTGCCGTGACAGTAGAGATAGGAATAGCCTCAGGCCATCTAGTGAACCAGTCAATACACGTGAGTAAATGGGTATACATGTGCGACGGTGGTAATAGGCCTACAATATCAATGTGCGCGGGATCAAACCGAGCGTCAGGCGTAGCAAACGTACCGATAGGTGCGGTTACTTGCCTATGCACTTTGGATCGTTGACGCTGTAAGCACTGTTTCGCCCACACTCGAACGTTCTTATTCATGGATGGCCGGACGTATTGTGTAGCAGTCAAACGAAGTGTTGCTGCGATGCCTGGGTGTGATAAGCCATGAAAGGTGTCAAAAACAAAACGACGATAGGATGAAGGTACTAAAAGGCGAGACGACGAGACTACACATTGACTTGGTGTGATGGCTTGTGCACCTCTGTGACTCAACGAGCTACTCAGGATGGCTTTATAAAGCCAGGAGATCTTATCATGCCCGGAAGGTCAATAGGTAGAGGTCAGACGAAGTTCAATCTCCTGTCCTCCAGGTTGGGGGTTAACCTGGAATTTGGTGTTTCAGTCGATAAAAACGGTGGAGGAGTAATCGATCCAAGTAAATGGGCCTCAAATTCGCCTCACTCGCTGCCTTGCGGTTAGATTCTCATTCTTGTTCTTGGCGAGAACCCTAATCGTTCTCCTGCTTATTGGCTGGACATTCTAGCAGTACCTGTCTACCAAAACCCAATGCATACACGAACAAAAATAATTCCATACTGCATCGATCGTCGCGCAGGATAATCAGGACCGCGCTGCCCATTGTATCTAGTGGTGTGGGTAGTGATAACTGGGCTACTGCTCAGATATTCCAACCTTTGTGGAACTCTTTGTCTTCCGTTCCCAACCCTCTCCCTTTACTCCTTCTACCCACCTGAAATAGTCCCTCAAGCAACTTGGATGTCGCTCGCCAAAGGTCATTGCTAAATAGCACTGTAAATGATTTACCACGGAATGGATTGCAGACTCTGCAGCCTCGTCAATCACTGAATTTGGGGGTCTTCAACGTGAGGACTTTGATGCAGCTAGGTCAACACGCTTGTCTGGCTCGTACAATGGAATCCTTAGGAATCGATATTTGCTGCGTGTCGGAGACTCGGATCCAGGATCCTACTACTCTAAGCCACTTGAGCCCGCCAGATTTTTCGGCGAGATACGTTCTTCGCACATCAGGCAACGGTGAAGCTCGTTCAGTAGTTCATCGCGGGGTAGGTATTGTACTCAGTAACAGGGCGGAGTCCTCTCTGATCGATTGGTTCCCCTTCAACAGTGATTTATATGCAGTGCGTCTCTTATACTGGAGGGCGATTACAGACAGCATGGAGGCTGCGACCGTTGCAGCGGACTTTGGAAAGCTATTCCGTCTAATTCGTGTCGCAGCAGGAAAGAGGCAGACATCAGAACCACTGTTGCGCAGCACCACAGGCCAACTTATTCGGGGAACCGGGCAAAAAATGCAAAGGTGGGTTGAACGCTTCGACGGGCTGCTCAACCGACCATCAAACTAATCTGGCTCTCTACAGAGGTCAAGCATTCCGGAGACTTACGACGTCAATTGCGACCCACCTAGCACGACAGAAATCATCAATGCAGTCACTTCTCTGAAAAACAGGAAGGCTCATGGAGAAGACTGGATACCACCAGAGTTACTCAAAGCTTGCTTACCAACTCTGATCAATCCGCTGCACTCTTTTCCATACCATTTGGGAAAGGAAAGTTTTTTCAAAAGACTGGACGGCTTCAATTTTAGTCCCGGTCCCCAAAAGGGTGATAGATCTAAATGCGAAAATTACAGGGGTATTAGCCTCATTGATATTGCAGCCAAATTGTTTGCAGTGATACTGCTTAATCGCTTCGCAGTTGTCAGGGATACCCACACTCGTCCAAACCAACGGGGTTTTCGCCGGGGAAGAGGCTGTGTTGAACAAATCTTCACTCTCCGTAGATTTCTGGAACACCGCTACAAGTTCCAACAGCCTACCACTGCACGTTTCATTGACTTCCGCGCTGCGTTTGACTCTGTCGATAGAGAATCCTTGTGGTGCACATTGCGGTCCAACGGGATGCCTGAGAAGTTTATCAGGCTTTTAAAGTCATACTACTCAGGAACCCGGGCACGCGTCCGTATCTATGGAGAAGAATCGGCTGAGTTCACCTTAAGCTTTGGAGTTAGGCAAGGTTGTCCCCTATCGCCAATTCATTCATTATTCATTATTCAATTACACCGGAGATTGGTTAATGCGACTACCCTGGAGTGCAGCTTGATCCAGATACATGGATTGCGGACCTCGAGTTTGCGGATGATGTCCTACCTGGAGACAGCCTGTTGTCAGTCGTATAAATCTGTTTGCCCAGTCCATTGGGCTGGAGATCAACACGTCGAAAACGAAGACATTTTCGACCGAAACTTCTACCACGACACAACCCCTCTCGATTAACGGGGAGCTTGTCGAATCAACCGAAGTTTTCAGGTACCTTGGCTCTACGATAAGACCAAACGGCCAGGCTAAGGATGAAATCCAACTCCGTGTAGATGGAGCTAGAAGAGCCTTCCTACAACTTCTCAAACCGTTGTGGAATCGATGCGAAATAAGCTTAAACACTAAGCTTCGGGTTTACCAGGCTTCTATCCGCCCGAGCCTCACTTATTCTTGTGAAACCTGGCCACTAAGAGTACTTAGTGCTTACACCGCATCTTGAAAGTAAATTGGAGAGATCGGATTTCCAATGATGAGGTTCGACGGCGCTGCTTGAACATTGACAAGCTTTCCAAAATGCTACAACGCCGGCGCCTTCAGTGCTTTGGCCATGTGCTCCGAAGGCTCGACATTCTCGCGACAGGCTGTAGCCCCCGCACCATGCCATTGATGCGTTGCGGACTCAGTGGTCAATTGAAGACCTGGAGTAGTACGATCGAAGCGGAATCGGAATTACTTGGTCTTCAATCCCTATGTGGAATTCGCAACTGGAACCAGAACTGGATTTCACACTGCGTCAACCTTGCTTACCGATCGTCATGCGTGGACCGCCGTCCTTAGAAACATCCAGGAAGCCGACTTATCCTCCCGCAGGAGTTAGTCGATCAAAAGTAAAGGCAAAAGTAAGTAAGTGCGTCTCTAGGGTTCACTCAGCGTCCGGAAGGAAAGGAACACCAAAAAGTGTTTGTTCATCGTATCGCCATAGGCATCAACCAATTGCAGTTCTGATATGTAAAGGGTTTTCTGCGATGAACTCACCGATCTCATTCGGATGAGTCGAAGCTCCGACATAGTTGTACTTGCAGGTGACTTCAATGCGCAGGTTGGAAAACTGAGAGCATCAGAAACTTGCCTAGGCGGTAGTTGTGCTCTGCCCTGCCAACGAACAGATAACGGTGATCGACTTCTTCAGTTCTGCGCAGACCATCATCGGTTCCTATCAAGCCCCAACTTTCGCCACAGCTCTCGACGGACGGCAACGTGGCGCTCCAGTTCAACTGGTACACTAACTCAACTCGACCACATAGCAGTAAGTTACCGTTGGCGTGGCTCAGTGCAAAATTGCAGGTCCAAATGGACCATCTGCATTGAGTCTGACCACGCATTAGTTCTGATGCAGTTCACCCTCCGACTGACTGGTCGGTGACAAAACCAGCAAGCTCGGATAGCTCGTCAACGACTATGTGCTCCAGCAGTTCATGCACCCTATGAGTCAGAGCTAGTGCGTAAGCTAAGTGCGCTTCAGCGTGGTGATGTAGACGAGCATTGGGATCGGATTAGGCGAGCAATGCATTCCGCAGCGAATGTTGCTTGTGGGTCCGAGCCTTGAACCCGTCGTAGGCATTGGATATCTCAGGAGTCAGAATCCGTGATGGAGCAAAAACGGCAAGTCCCGACCTGCCAGGGTCAAAATAGAGTTAGGCGGCAGCTACAACGTCGGCTCAAGAAGGACCGTGAGAACTGGTGGGCAACAATAGCTAATGAAGTGGAAGTAGCAGCTGCATCAGGGAATAGGGAAAAAACTGTTCCGACTGATACGCAATACAGTTAGTGAAACAGTCTGCGATAAGAGGGGACGAGCTATTCACAATAGGGATGA